CCCCCACCCCCCCATCCACCAGCCTCTCCCTCCCTCCCCTTTACAGTACATTGTCTCCTCTGCTCACCTGGAACACTGTCATTATTGCTGCGGGGAAGGTATCGAAGTTGGTCGGAGGAGNCACACACACACACACACACACACACACACACACCTTGAACATGTAGACACGATTTAGCACAATTATGATTTTGGCTAATGACATTTAAAATTAGCATTCTATATTTTATATCACTTCCTCCTGTGCAAATCCTCTTCAGTCCTTTAATTGTTTTGTCCTNAAAAAAAAAACAGGAGAGAGAGTTGGAAAGGAGAAGTGTGAGAGAGGGAGAGGAAAGGAAAGAAAGGAAAAAAAGAGAACAGAAAGCATTTACAGAGCACAACAAATATCTGTCTGAAAAACTGCTCAAAAAATGACTTGGGCAACCTTGCAATTAACAGAAACTAATCTCTTAGTGGAAGATTAAATGAGGACTATTAAAAGGGAAGGAGAGAGAGACACAGAGAGAGAAGCTCAGGTAAAGGAAAACAGCACTGACTGTCCTCCGAAGAGCTGCATGCCCAGCAGGGCAAAGACAACTATGAAGAGGAAGAGCAGGAAGAGCAAGCTGATGATGGACTTCATGGAGTTGAGCAGAGAGACGACGAGGTTACGTAAAGATGCCCAGTACCTGACACACGGAGACAGAAGGTGTGTGTTTAGTTGTGGTTGATATGAGTGTAATATTAGGTCCTTTATATCAATGTAGGAAATAATACAATCATATTACAACTGACTCACTTGGTGACTTTGAAGATCCTCAATAACCTGAGAGCTCGTAGCACACTGATGCCAAACGACGTGCCCGGCTGGATGATGGACCACAGCACTTCAAATATGCTACCACATATCACCTAATACAAAGACAAGCACACACGAGCATGTGGTTATTCATGAGCACAATATGCACTCATCAGCAAATCATCGCTACATTTTTGCGTGTAAGTGTGTATTTACAGTCATGTTTTCACATGTGTGTGTGTGTGTGAAGCGAGGGTTTGCACCTGCTGGTGAGTTTGTGTTTGTGTGTTTGTTGGTTTCTTTGTGTGGGTGTGTGTCGCAAGGTGCAGTGGGACTCACAATGCAGTCGAAGCAGTTGAAGGAGGAGTTGAGGTAGGCCTGCCTGCCCAGGCCATACATCTTTACAAACATCTCTGTCAAGAATATCCCCAAGAAGGTGAATTCAGCAAAATCTGCATGGAGGGAGGAAGACGAGAAGTGAGGAGGAGGAGGAGGAGGAGGAGGAGGAGGAGGAGCTCAAACGCGAAAGGAGCCCATCTATCCCTACATGCTTCAACCTGTGTCTGTCCATCCGTCCGTCCATCCATCCATCCATAGAGGTGTAGTGTTTTACTATACATGTATTTATGTCTGCATTTGAAACGCAAAATGCTATTTTTGCAATATGCAATTTACATTTACATTGAAGTTTCCTCATTTTTTTGTTAAATTAGCAAAAATATACATGCCTTCTTTTTGTAGCCTGGGTTACACCATTTGGGTGACGTATGAAACAAGTCAAGTCAATTTTTATTAATATAGTGCCAAATCACAATAGAAGTTATCTCAAGGCACTTTTCAAATAGAGGAGGTCTAGACTGTACTCTTTATAACATTATAATAATATCAACCAGTGAATCAAACTTTCTGTAACATTAAAAACAAGTGTGAATCACCAAGTGGTTTAGTCTGGAATCTAAATCAAATTCATTCTTTTGTAAGGTCTACTGTGAGAGAAAGGTCAGTGTATAGTTGTGGAAAGTCTTTACACTGTATACTCATGCATATATCCATTATTCTTTCCATTTTTCCAAACCATGTTTAATCCTTCATATATATTTTTTTAAACATATAAGTCATTTTATTTCATTTTATTTTTTTAAACCATCTTATTTCTATTTTGTCCTTCATTTCAAAACCTTTATACTATCTGTGAGTATATGTATGTGTATATGTGCTGGATACTTGCAAAAAATGCAAACGAAACACAGTTTGCATTTTTTTCAGAGTCTATGCGAGAGGAGCACATTGTGTGTTTGGATGTGCTTGTGTCAACTGGTTGGGTCAGCTCTTTCATGGATGTAGTCACATCTACTTAAGAATTTGCTCACCCACTCCCTTCCAGTAATCTGTGATGAGAGTATTTGTGCATTTGTAGAGATAATCTGTGCATGCTCGCACTAAGTATCCATCTATCCCCCAACCTCCTACTCACATAGAAAATCTGAAAGTGGTTCTGGCTGGTCGTAGTGCACTACAGCCACACACAGCGTGTTGAGGCCCACCAAGCACAGTACAGTCCAGTAGAAGGCCTGGGACTTGACAACGTGTCGGATTAAGAAGCGCAGCCGTCGCTCCCGCCGCTTGAAAGTCGATCCTTCGAGCTTGGAGCTCTTCAAGCTGGCACGGGCAAACGGTGAACCTGGAAGGGTAAGCAAGGTATCATTAGCTATACAGTGAAGTTAGCAGTGGTTTATTGGCGTGACTGTGTACGTTTAGCATCTGGAAAAAGCAAAACTGTGCACATAACACACTGTCATCTCCTTCCCTGATTTGTGACTTAGTCAGAGATTCAGTAAATAACAAGATCATACACAAAATGTTCTACTTGACCTAATACAGTAATGTTATTTCATAGGTTTCTATGACTTATCAGGTATCTCTCTAATAGATTATGTTTTCTGTTGTGCTGTCCAAAAACAAAAATAAAATCATTTTTCATTTGAGAAAACAGGAACAGGAGAAGAATTGCTTTGGATGAAAAGGCTGGAGAAAGAGGTGTTGGGGGAGAGAAATAGGGAGGAGGCGGCAAGGGCAGGTTAGACGGAAGAAAGGTGGAAAGATGAGGGGGGTTGAGGACAGGAGAAAAAATGTAACATGAGGAGGGGAGTGCAGAGCGGCGGAGGAGAGGAGAGGGAAGGAGAGGGAAGGTGAGCAGGGTCAAGTAATGCTGATACGCAAGATAAGATCTGCGTCTGCATGTACCTGTGGTTTGGCCTTTGAATGAGCGAGTGAGTGAGTGAGTGAGTGAGTGAGTGAGTGAGTGAGAGAGAGAGAGAGAGAGAGAGAGAGAGAGAGAGAGAGAGAGAGAGAGAGAGAGAGTGTGTGTATCTTACCTACTGCCAGATCTCCCTCTCCTTCCTCTGGGTTTAGAAGCTCAGCTTTGCTCTTATGGTTCTTAGTGGCTCTCCTACGGGATCCTGCGATAGACAAAAAGCATGAGTTAATTCTATGACACAACAGTATTGATGTGCTTGGATGTGCTATATCTTTTAGCATGATGCAAAAAAACCTTTAATGCATACACAAACAACAGCAGATTCATACCATCATAATCATTTTCATTTTCATCATCCGCCAAGATGACCTCTTCTAAAAAACACACACAAACAGAGGTGTTAATAAAGCGTAATATAACCATGTTAAATTTATGTTTGATGACTTCCACAAGATCAACCAATTTTTTTTCTTTTTAAATCATTAATGTCATTTCTCATTTTAATTAAAACTGGAAACAAAGTCTTTGGCCTGCACCTGTGCTTGCTACTCATCCCTCCCTCCTTTGTTTTTTAGCTTCCTTCTTTTTATGTGGATTGTCTTTTCAAGAAGATCAAAGGTCTGCCCTTTCTATCCACCCCTTCATCCGCTCCTTCCAGCATCCAACATCCAACCCTCCATTCCTCTTATCTTCTCTACATCTTTCCTGCCCTCAGTAGATGGGTCTCAGTGAAAAGACAAGCGAGAGAAACAGAACTACGGGCAAAGGTTGGGTCTTCAAACACGTGTTTTTAAACCTTGCCATCCTCTTTGTTAACAGACTCCTACTGTGAAGCACCAGCAGAAAATGTTGCTTTAATTACATACTTAACTACATAACCGTTTATTAATTACATACCCGTTTTCAAAATTGTTTGATAATAAATGCATTAAAAATATCTACATCTGCAAAATGCCTGATGGATTGGTAATTGAAATCCTGGGGACAAAATGCACGACAATATTGTTTTTGCCATGTGTTTTTATGGTTGTTTGTGTTTTTTGTGTGGAAAATGAAACACACCAATAATACACTGTATTACTGTATGTACTGTACATACCAGCTTTGCAGATCCACTCCAGGTAACCATTAAGTTCCCTTTCAATCTGCTGCTGTCTTCTGAGCTTCAGGAACTCACTCCTGTTCTCCACACGCTCTCTCTCTTTGGCAAACTCCCTGCAGGGACAAACACACACACACACACACACACACACACACACACACACACACACACACACACAAACTCAGTGGACACTTTTAATGTAGACAGTTCACATTTGAACTGTGGCTTACATACACTAAACTACAACAATTTCAAAATCCATCTCAAAATCTATTACATTATTAATGTATACTGGATGAAAAATTACAAACAAAGAACCTTTATGCTTGGTCAAACACTCTCACACAAACAGACACTTACCCTGACAACACACCCAGCACCAGGTTGAGCATGAAGAAAGAGCCAATGATGATGAGGGGGATGAAGTACATCCAGTTCCATGCACTCCCTGAGGCATCGTTGCTCTGGAAACAAACACACATGCGCACACACACACACACACACACACACACACACACACACACACACACACACACACACACACACAAAAACACACAGACATTAGAGAAAGTAATCAATGTTTTGCTCTGCGCCCCTGAACTCGATATAATAGCATCTAAGCTAACAGAAATGCACTTGGTTAACAGTATGTAATAATGAACACTTGGAAATTCACCAAAACTTACGATCTGAACAACTGAGACATGACACATTCTTTAATGTGACTCGGTCAAAAGAAGAGTATATAATATGTATGACCAATTTTACGGTCGGCTGTGAGCTGCAGGCACACGTAGAATAACTGCTGCTGCATGAATCAGCTGTAATGGCATATGTTTTGGTCTGCCTGTGATCAAAGTTGAGGTCATGTTAAAGTCTGTTTCATCACCCCTGCACCAACGAAAATAACTGCTATTTATTAGGCCTGCTTGTTAAATTAACATGCATTTCCAGTATTTGCATCCAGGTAGCGCACACATGCTACGTGTCCATAAATGTAATTTGTTTTCATTTGAAGTAAACATGATCATGTTGTCATCATGCAAATTTACCTTAAACTCGTTAAATATCCAGACAGTGGGGCCATTAAAAAGACAGAGGCCTGTCCACTGCAGTTAGAAATATAAACAACAGCAGGGCTGACATGACTTTGCTTTAAGTCATCTCAATAAGTAAATGCATATCTGCCACTCTATTTAGCTGCTCTGTGCAGACTAAATAATGTATAACAAATGCTTTGCTCTCTTCCTCTCTCTCTAACTCCTGACCAGACCCTCCTCTCATTTTCTTTTTTCATTCCGTATTATTTTCTCCCTCTTTTTTGCACCTTCTTCAGAACCCCTTCCTCCTGCTTTTCCCATCCCTATTGTGTCCTTTCGATGCCCACTCATTTGTTTTTATTCTTTCCTTCATTGTATTAATTCCTTCAATCTTTCCATTCCTCCTCGCTGTCACTGATCAGACTCGACATTGATTCTTCATTTTAGCCTTTCACACCTCCAGACTGCCTCTCCTTTTCCCTACATTGCACTCTCCATCTTTCCTTCTTCCTGCATGTAGGCTGGCATTGGCGCTGTGTACCCAACGTACCGCAGACCCTTTTTTCTACCATTAAACTTTTATCGCTCCCCTCCCCAGCAGCTGCAAGAATAACTTGGGCTGAACAGGCCCTTTTAAATATAGAGCAGCACCGGGAAGGAGGGACACAGGGAGAAAGACAGCGAGTGAGAGTGACAGGGAGGAAGGAAGGGAGGAATGACGGAGGAAAAAGGAGGGGGGAGAAAGATAAGGAGGAAAGAAGAAAAAGAAGGAATGAAAAGAAAGAAAAAGAGCAATGGGAAGAATTAGATGGACTGAGGGAGGGTAAAGAGACGGCTACAGTAACACTCAAAGACCCTCATCTGCCTCTGGTAACCATAGCAACCGTTGCCACTGACAGCAGGGAACTATTCAGTCTTGGGCATGAGTGATGACACTGTTCGAGACCTGGTGCCCATTTTATGGGCTAATGCACAGTGTGCACAGGTGAAAATGATTGGAGGTTTTAACACTTTTCATTTCATGAGACAAAAAAAAAATCTTTTGTGGTGCGGTTCTGCAGCCTGAGACCGAAGACTGAAAACACTATTGTGGCTATTGACAGACATGTTAGACAAACATAAGACCTAAATTCAGCTGCATTTAACTTGATACTTAATTTTTGCTTTTCTTCCAGATACTGTGTGGCAGTTTTGCTCACACAAAATGGCCCCCAAATATGACAATCTTTTAAATACTTGCCAAACAAAGGCATTGTCAACATGGAAAACAAAATGATACTGTATAATTTCAACTATGAAATAATAACTAATTTAACTATTAAATAATGAATTGATTAATTGGCCAAGGTGTTTGGTTGGGGCTGCAGCCCATCCATGACAAAGACTGAGTTCTCATCTTCTTTACTGGAATGATCCTTTATATTCTCGCCTAAACCTCCTGGCACACAGACCAGCAAATCACGGATTGACTGGTTACCCAGTAGCCTACTCCTGAAATCCCCTCCAAAATAACTGGTTCCTTCAATGTCTTTCACTGCTGCTTGACTACTGAGTGTGTAAATATGTTTCCAATCAGTGTTCAGCAGTACGTACATAGTAGAGCAGGTCAGTCCAGCCCTCCATGGTGATACACTGGAAGACGGTGAGAATAGCAAACAGGATGTTGTCAAACTGGGTAATGCCATAGTTTGGTCCCAGCCAGTACGATCTACACATGGTGCCCTCTGGACACAGCCGCGACGGAAGCTCTGTCCCGCATGGAAACTCTTCTCGGATCTCACCTGAACATGAGAGGAAGTGTTTCAAAACAAAAGGCAGGCACATGCAAATATGTAGTTTGTTTTCTAGGAGCATGATATCCATTGGCTCAAAATAGTATGTTGCCCCTTACTTTCTGGAATTAAATATATAAAAGGTAAATGGTACATAAAGTAGGAATGACACAGCAATTATACAGACACATTTTCTGGGATTCCAAAATCTCAACTCCATATCGAGAAAAGTTGGTATTTAAACAGATATTACCAATGAGTGAGACCTCATCTCATCACAGAAACGTAGAATAGATGTACCACAAACACTCTATCGCTAAAGTTGAACTAAATTGCATTTCTTATTTTAGCACTTCCAGTCTTCCTCAACCAGAACAGGCATGGTTTTCACTGGGACAAGCAGTTAGCATCCTGACTTGACACTGACTCCTTTACCTGTGTGATTGTCAAAGCAGGTTTTGTGGAATTTGCCCATGTAGAACTCCAGGCCGATGATGGCGAACATGAGGATGGCAAAGAAAAGCAGCAGGCCAATTTGCAGCAGAGGAATCATGGCCTTCATGATGGATTTGAGCACCACCTGTAAGCCTGGAGGACACAGGGTGCACAGTATTTACATTTTTGGAACGATCATCGGTGTAAATCATCAGTAATAATAATTTAATGTGTTTTCAGCCATTAGCATTAGGTTGAGCTGTTGAACTGAAAAACCATAGATATGATAAAACAATCAGATTATGATTTACAGTACATCACACACTTACACCAGGTCTCTCAGATTACATTATTAATCTTTTACCTGACACACACTACAGTATGTGATGGAGATACTGAATTTGTCATCACAAAACATAGCCAGTGAAATGCTACACATTTGGTTGAGGTAAAAATAAACCACACCTGAGGTTCTTTCTAAACAAATCATCCTGGCAAACAGAAGAAGCCAACACTCTACAGTGAATTTGAATTTCATGCCAAATGTTGTTTTGTTCTCCAAATATACATCATATATGGTAATGGAACTCTAATTTGGTTTTCACAGGAAGCTTAGTGACTTTTATGATGAGTAAGCCTTGGTTTGGCTGTTCAGCCCTGTAGTGGAGTCAAATCTATTAATAACACTGCAGTGGTGCTGGAACGCTACTGCCACTATAACATTTTTTTTTTTTAAAAAAAGGAGCAGAGTGCATAGAAGAACCACTTTTGTTAGAACACTTTGGGTGCATTATGCAGAAAAACACAGAAGCTGCATAAAACCTTGACACAAAATGCTTCTCCATGCTATTTTGATCCTCAAATAAAACCTGAAACTGTTCTGCACATAAAAGAAATATCATTTTCTCAGCTGCTAAGGAATAAAAAAGAAGCTGTTTGGGACAAAGGACAAAAGCTAGCAAAAAATAAAAAATAAATGAATAAATAAAGTCTTTATTTTTCAGTGTCATACTTCAGATGAGGAGTTTTGACTTACTGGGAATACCGGACACCAGTTTGAGGGGCCTCAATACTCGCACAGCCCTGAGGGTCCGCAAGTCGAAATCTGAACCCACAGTGGACAGGATCCTGAAGGGAAAGAGGCAAATGCATAAAAGTGTAAGTGTGCACGGGCAATCAATATTTAAGCTGGCCGAGCTTGTCACTGTCAGTCGGCTTCTCCTTGCCTCTCCCTGTCTTTCTCGCTTTTACGAACACACACACACACACACACACACACACACACACACACACACACACACACAGTCATTTTAACACACACCCATGCCAGGTCTTTACAAGCAACTGGGTGAGCACTGTATGTAAATCCTGCAAGAGCTGAGCTGATCAATAGAGCTGACAAGTGAAGTAGGACGGAGAAGTGTATCAGGATGAGACAGGGATGGGCTGAAGGGAGAGTGTTTTGTATCGGCATGACAGAGGGATTATAAAATGAAAAAGGAGAGAGATGGAGTGATGGGGAGGAGAGAGGAGATGGGAGGACAAAGAGGGAGGGTGGAAGAGAGAGAAAGTTAGAGGCACAGAGAGACAGAGCGAGAGAGAAAGAAAGACAAAAGAGAGAGGGGGAGGGAGCACTGGCAGATGCGGAGGATCAGAGATGCTGACTTGCTTATTTCTGCTTATTTTCAATCTTGGTACGTTTAAATGATTTCTCTTCAGTATGTCATCGGACTGCAGAGTAAATGTGTTGGGGTCTGTGTCACAGCACCTGTACCGCTGCTCATCACCCGAACAAAGAGTAGTAGACAGCACGAGTGTGTATGTGTGTACTTGAGAGGGTTAAGATGTTCCCTTGTGCCGCCAGACTTCCAGTCAGTCCCCTCCTCTGACGCACACAGTGAATCATCCTCCTTCCCACTTCTCTCTCTCTTCCCTCTCTCTCTCTCTCTGTCTCTCTGACACATTTCCACTTTCCTCTGTTCCACTAAGAGGCCCAGTGACACAGCAGAGCCTTAATCACAGGTTTGAAGTCAGCCTGCTTTGCTTGGAAACCCATAAAATTGGCCAAGAAGTGAAAAGTAACACTGACCCAGGATCTATGGATGAAGGTATACTCAGCTGTGGTTTTGAATGCAGTATTGCATTACCAGCAAGCCCCCATCGGTAGATGCTCCATCACTAGTATAGACTGGGGTCCTTGTAATGACATTGTGTGATATCAAATGCCTCATCAGAGGCTGACTTGTAACTGAGAGGTTCCTGGTTTGGTCACGCGGCATTACTGTACTTCAGCTGCATGTGTAGCCAAAAAACATTATGACAAACTTATCCTTGAGCAATACAATGAATCCTAATTTCTACCATTTTCAAAGAAACACAGAATGTAAATAATGGGTGGGATATTAATTAGAGCTAAAACCATAAATTATTATATTGATTGATATAATATTTATATAAGCTTATTGCCAATATACTGTATCGCTATTAGAAGATATGGCAACCAATTATTAACAAGAAGTTACAGAAAAGAAGTACCAAGATATGTTTAAAACAGTGGCTCCATAAAAAAGTTTATCCATCAGGGAGCAGCGACAAGTATGTTTGAACAGTTAAATGTCCCACTCAGCAAATTACATCACAATTTTTAATAACCAAAAAAGGGAGTCTTATTAAAAAATGCTATCACGATACTTGGCGGAGAAAAGATGCAAAGAAACCTAAACAAGGCAACACTTTTTCATTTTTGCATGGAAACAATGCATGCCAAGTGGGTTACATTGTTTGTTTTTCTGTTAAACTTGTCAAAAGATTTGAATGAAATTTGGGAGAGGGTCTTTTTATATTTATAAATTCAAAATCTCTAAAGATTTTTATTAAAAATACATTCAGTGGATTCTAGCAGAGAAATATGTTGTCTCATTAATATTTGATAATCATATTATTTTCCTGGAAATGATCCCTTTGTTCCAATATATTGAATTACATAATGATTTACATAATACTTTGAATGTAATGCTACTTACAGGTTAGAGTTAGCTCTCTGTCCATTCATTCTGGAGCATGAATCTTGCATTGCATTACTCTGACGGACTGTTGTATAAATGTTTAGTGCTACTGTTTAATAACAATATGGTATAGTTGAGAACTCTCCTTCACAGGGAGGTCAGAGTGCAGGCTCACCTACACAACATCACCCACAACGCAGGTAAAGGATTTAGTGCTTTGCTCATGAACACATTAGCCTAGAAGATGCTGGGCAACACAGAAAACTGCTCTGATGCAATTGAGGACGACAATAAAAGGGGTGGGGTGGGGGTGGGGGGGGTGATGTAGGCAAGGAAGGCGTGATACAGTATGTATTACACAATGGGAAAGAAATGCAATGAATACATGGTGGAAAGAGAGGAGGACTAAAAGCGAGAATAATGAACAAAAAGCAAAATTCAGACTGAGAGATGAATAAGATGATGATTATCTGGGCTGCTGATTTCCATTGAATATTTACACTATAAATAGAGTTGAATGAGTGTGAATGTATGTGTGGACGGAGAGTTTAACATTGCTGACGGCTGGAGTTTCAGAAAAGAATAATCTGCATATCCTCCTGGAAATACAGAATACAGTATCACACTGTATGCTGACTGAATGCACACACACACACACACACACACACACACACGAGTATATGGCAAACGAGTATGAGTATGTGTGTATGTCACACATACACACACACATACTCGGGGATGGAATACAGTATCCATTTGAGTAAAACCCTCACATAACGATGATGATGACAACACTGATGACGATGATGGTAATGATCATGATGATGACAGCGATGAAGAATTCAGTCTCTTAACAGCATCCGCTGTCACAAACAGTGTCAGGCCGATGAGGCAGTTCCTCATTCACACCGTCTCCACGGTGACTGGGCCCTTTCTCATTCATAAGTGTTTCCATGGCAACAGGGACCTTGGCTCATTGATAGAATCTCTGTATCACCTTGGTAACAGGGCCATGGGAGGAGCCTGATTGATTGTTTTCATCCTCCTCTCTTCTCTCTTTAATGTAAATGTATCGCAACTCACACAGAAAAACACACATGTACACATACACACACACACACACACACACACACATACATACAAAGACACATAGATGATAAAAACCAAACACACATACACACACATCAACAGGCTCTGGTTGTAGATCAAACATATTGAGTGTGAATAATTTTCTTCACGTATGCACACTGGAAACTAGGGCATTTGGAATAACCAATGGAAAACAATTTCTTCCTTGTCAGGGACAGAGATGCTGTCTACAGTACATCTTATACACTTAATACACACACAGACATACAACCTGCACTTTATGATTAAGGGGTTATCACATTAAGCAATATTGCTATTACACAATCTCCCCACTGACCCCTTCTCATGGGAATCCAACACATTATACAAACACAATCTTTTTTGCCTGCACTCTCCGTCTGCTGTTCTTGCTGACTTCAGCTGAATGTGGCTAATTATCTTAGTCCACATCACTGACCAACCTGCTTCTTCTCTTCCCCAAATTCTCTGCTTTTCTTGTCTCTTTGCTTTCCTCTGGTCCCATGATTCAACTATTTCATATTTAATGTATCTGCATAATCTTTAATTCTCTCTCATATTAACATTAAACCTATTTTTTGGATAAAGATCAGTCATTATTCTTATTAACATTATGTTACAGATGTAGCAAATTTCAGGTTCAATTTTAGTTGATTTCAAGGTCACTGAAAGGCCCTTCCATGCTGACTTCCTTCACGTCACTGTACCAGTTGTATGTAATCAAAAGCACATGAACAAGTGTAGAGGGCCGTGCCACAGGGGCGAGGATGCAAGGCAAGAATGGCTATAAACTAAGGGTAATTGGACTAATAATCAATAGTGGGCATAAAAAACAACTAGCTTATTCCCAGTGCCAAATCACTCAGGCAATTTACTACAACAGATAGGTCAACACACACACACACACACACACACACACACACACACACACACACACACACACACACACACACACACACACACACACACTTGGGCACAAACCCATGGATGAATACTAATCAACTAACATCCAACAAGGTTGTAGAGTGAATAGCTAATCTATTCAGACATGTTAAGTGCCATTTGTGTGTTTGTCTTTGTATGCGATTAAAGACAGCGCCTACAAGTGCACTAGGAGTGAGTAGGAAATGGAAAGGAATGTTTGAAGTGGAAATGTGTGTGCGCGCACGCATGCGTGTGCGTGTGCACTGGTCAGTGTGTTATCAAAGGTTTCGGCCAGAGGTGGGTAGAAAGGCCAAGTAGCCTTTCATCTTCAAAGAGCTGCACGGCTAAAAACACAACGGCCATTCATAGAAAGCTCGACAAAGACTCTCTGTGTGTGTTTGTATGTGTGTGCGTGCTTGTGTGTGTAAAATGTATCGACTTCAGTCAGTTCAGATAATGCATCATGGGAATGTACAGTATGCGTGCTGTAAGTGCTGCAATATCCACCTTTGTTGAAAATGGTAACAACACAGCTGGTTAACAGAGAGAACAAGACTACACTGTGTTTTTTGAGACTTGTTTACTATGCAACGTAAATATGTTGTTTACTTTGTGAAAATCTTTGAATTAGAGCTTTGTTGTTGCTCCGCGATAATTTTCATTTCAGAAAACTTTCTCAGTTCTTCCTCTGGACCTTAATTAGTATGTCCCCTGTCTCTTTCCTCTCTCTTCTTTACCAATTTATTTTTCTGTGATTTATTTTTAGTCCTGAAATTCTTCTTTCACCTTCATCACTTTACATCTGAATTCACAATATAGTGCCGTATGAAGGGAGAGAGAAAGAAGATGGAGAGACTAAATCACACTAAATCCAGCTATGGTCTGGAGGACTGTTAGATTGCCTACAAACATGCTGGATGACCTCCATGTTGCAACCAGGACTCTTTGGAAATAGAGGGAATGCACCTAAAGAGAGACTAAAGACCTACACAGCAAAGCTCAGGTTTGTTCTTTTCAAAAACGAACACAGGAAGTAGTTTCTGGTTACAATATTAAAAGGGGGGTTGTTATGAGAGACACAGGCTTTAACGTCATTTGGACATTAAATGTGAGGAAATGTTCTGCTTAGGTGTAGGAGCAGCATCTCCACTACAACACCGGCAATGCCTCTGCCTACAGGAGATGATTTAACTGCTGTGTCACGCTTGCTCAGAGGCTTTCATTTTCCAAACATAAACATAAAGATTTCCTATTAGAAAAACACAACTCCACCTCTCCTTTCTTTCCTTCCTTCCTCTCTGCATCCCCTGCTGTCTCGTTGACACTCATCCTCTCACTCCTCTTCTCTCTTACAGTCACTCTGTTGTGCCACGCTGAGATGAGCTTGGCTTCATGATTGCTCTTATTAAAGCATAAGGACATACTGCCAGACTGAGCGCTGAGTGTGTGTGTGTGTGTGTGTGTGTGTGTGTGCGTGTGTGTATGTGTGTGTGTGTGTGTGTGTGTGTGAGTGAGGGCCGAGGGGGGCCATGACTAGTTTCAGTGCTGCTTTGTCAGCAAAGATGTGCAAGGTTTATGAAACCCTCTCTCCAAATCACCACATGCACACACACAAACATGCAATGACCTCAGCATCACAGACTGTGCCAGTACTCCCACACCCTAATTTCAGTGGACATAGTAACCTATAGTAACACAGTTTTACTACGTGACTTACTGCAATTGAGCAAATGACAGAAGGAAACCGCTCCGTTTCTCTCTGTTTTAATAGACAGAATCAATGTAATGTGCAGTTTAATGTGTGTCAACTGAAGCAGGCTTTAAGTACAGTGTGTTGTTAAAATATGAAACGGGTATCAATCAATCATTAAGCTTTGTGGGAATATTCAGATGTGCTGTGGGCAAATCTGAGATATCTGCTCTGGGGGTATTCTTGTGTCAACAGTAAGACCTTCACAGACATTTAATACAGATTTTCCTCTTTTCAATGACCCATCACTCATACAGACGTATTCATCTAAATCACAATCAAATCACATAATCTGCAAACACAAACTGTGCGCACAGAGCAACATGTGACAGTTGTAAACACATCATCACACAGCCTGCAGCGCCTATGGACATACAAAAGAAAGCTTTTTAAAGAAGAAATGACATTCCATACAGTCATATGGACGGAACGTATCAAAAGATGGATGCATGATGGGAAATAGATGAATCAGTGCACCTTTTCTGCATCACTGAAAAATGAAATGTAAACCTGCTTGTGTGTACACTCACATGCTTTATTTCTGTCACTCCATCATATTATCTATCTACTCTGGTCCTTTTCTATGACCTATAATCTAATCAGTGATAGTAATTCCATCGCGCTAATCCTATCATGTGTCTTAACTCACCCTTGTTGACACCCTGTCCGTCACAGACTACATCCCATTTCTTCCTTTTGCCCTCATCTTCACCTTCTCATTGAGCTTTAAGATATCATGGCGGCCCCATTAACTAACCCCCGTTTTTAGCATTCCAGTTGGCAGTTGGAGCAACTGACATTTTTATTGTTGGTCTTAACACATTGTCTCTGTTCTGCTGTCAAACCTGTACAAATCACCTATATGAAAAATAAGCCTATTTTATGGTGCTGTTATTGTACTGCTATCCCTCATTATTGTCCCTCTCTTGCTTGTTTTCCTTCACTTCCTGCACTCTTGCATTGTCTCTTTCCATTTGTTACCCTTCACCTTTCTGTCTCTACTAGCCACCAACACATGCTCTTTTCTTACCTCCTATCCAATGTCTCTTTCCTCTGTGCCCCCACCCCCCCACCCCCACCCCCTGTCTCTGTGTATATTGTGGTGACATTTGTTCACTACCCAGGTTGCTGGCTGCCTGCAGTTTTGCTCTGTGATCTGACTGCTGCCTGGCCCAGATGGGGCCATTCATTAGGGCAAAGAAGCAGGGAAAGGACACTCACAAACACACACATATACATGCACAACCACACAGTAACACACATGTTAAATGACTTGCTTTTGTCCAGTTTTAGTTGAAGTTAAAGCTGAGGGAAAGCCACATCTGATTCTGACCTTGCGTTTGCCTAACTGTGTGTGCATGTGAGTATTCCTGCAGGCACTGACTGTGCATGTATGTGTGTGCTTGTAATGTGTGTGTGTGTTCAGCTCATGTTTGCTTGCCACTCACCCTGTGAGTACCACTACAAAATCCATGACGTTCCATCCGTTCCTCAGGTAGGAGTTCTTGTGGAAGGCGAAACCAAGTGCCAGAATTTTTATTCCGGACTCAAAACAGAAGATTCCTATGAAGTACGGCTCTGTATCATCCTGAAGGAAGAAAAGCAAAGGAAGCGGTGGAGACGAGAAAGAAAGAGGAAGGAAGGTTAAAATAGAAAAAGACAGAGACAACGTGAGATAGATATCAATAGCTAGATGAGTTTGGGTTCAGAAGGACATTTTCATCAATACTGTTTGTGTCAACTATTGTGGGCATCAACCTCAGTGTGGCTGTATAAAGACAAGAGAAAATTAGAGTTGTTGAATTCCTATGGTATGTATAAGAATGTGTATGTTTCTCATGTGTTGTAGTGCGCAGTATATTTGGGCCATTACATTTTTTTCAAGGTGAAAGAAAAGCATTGTTTTAACTGCCTCTCGTAGTGGAGTAGCTGCGTTTATCTCCACTGAAGTAAAATCAATAAGGCATCAGAACTGTCACCTGGAATTAATCAAGTTTACATATGGCTCACACACTGTATCATGTCTTTTTTAACTTACCAGGCGTTCAGACAACGGCGTCTTGTCCCCATCGGGCAAATGTTGTTCCAGGGCCAGGACGATGCAGTTGGCAATGATGGTGGCAAGAATCATCCACTCAAATGGAGTGAGGAAGGTCAGTCAAAGAAAAAACACTTCTCAAGGCATAAATGTAAACAGTTGAAAAATACAGCTGAACATGATAACAACTGTTTTCTACATAATCATGGCACAAAAGATAATATTCTAGTCTTGAGCTATGCTTGGTCATCACATCACATCACATTATTACCCTTATTAACAAATATTTGTAGGTCTCTGTACCTGTTCACACATGCTACGTTGTATCATATCAATATTATTTTTCTTGGTTTAAAAAGGCCTACTGGCAGTCAGGGTTTTAATTTAGCATGTACATACACAGTAAGTCCATTATTGCAGACAATCTCACACACAGTATATTTCACTACACGTCTACCTATACTCAAGAAAAGACGGCACAGAATGGCAATATAGAGTCATGACTACTACGTACTATTTACATATAGGATTGGTATTTTCTGAGAGATGTGATTGTTGATTGATGTTTCTTAAATAAGGAGGTCAGTGCTTCTGTGAGGGTGCAAATCAGATCACACTTTGATCGCAGAGATGAGCCAAACTTAAAGTTGCAGGCGCAGCCAAAGTGCAGATGTGAGTTTTCATTATTCTGTCTTATAAACACTTTGCCTGCTTCAAATCGCAGTTTTGTCAACATTACAAGGACTTTCAGCACCACAAGAGCCACAAAATTCAAAGATGAACATTTACTCCACAGTGAGAGTTTCAATCATCTCCTCCGTAGTTACTGCCTTTATAAGAATGTGTCCATGGAAACCACAAGGTAGAAGCAAAAATGAAAGCTTGAATCCTGCATAGCGTGGTGGCAGACCATGAATAGGACCAAAGTTGTTCAAAAATAGTATCATCAAATAAATGCAACCGCAACACTGAAGATCAAAGGACAAGTAAGCCTTTTAAACATTTAAAAATGAGAATGCTTTTTCCTTGGTAATTCCTACATATAGCCTACCCATGGGTCTATCTGACAGGTCAGCAATTAAGATAATATCCCCACTCTCATGTCAAAGGTGAAATGTATGCTATTTGAAAACATTGGGTGTAAGCGAGGCAGGCAGACAACAGGCCTATAGCTCAAATGGATTGCTGTCCGGCCTCTCACTGCCATTGCCGACTGTTTACACACACACACACACACACACACACACTGAGAAACCATCATTATGAGTCAGTTAAATATGTTCTGTTAA